GGTGGATCGTCATTGAGCAGGATGTGGCGGGTCGCCGGTCAAGGTAGTGGTGGTTGTTGGCTTGTCGCCGATCAGGGTGGTGATGGTGGTGGTCTCCGCCAATTAGGGTGGTGGTTGTCGCTGGTCCGGGTAGTGGTGGTCGTCGCTTATTAGCTAGAGTGGTGTCAAGGTGTTAGTGATTGGTGGGAAGATAGTGTTGAATTACTAGGGTCATGGCTGGCTATTTACACTAAATGTTGGCGGTTTTCATTATTTTTAATAGTATTTAACACCCCCTGTTATTTGTGTCTTTTTTTTTTTTTGGGCAATTGTCTAGCCCAAAGGCATCAAAAGCACAACCTTAATCTGAATATAATTTTCCGTTCGCTTATTTTTGTTTGCTACACTTAACTTTTTGTAGTAACTTTGATGATATTTTGTGTGAATATATATTGTTTTTGTCCCAGTTTAGATTATACTATCTTCAAGTTATTTTTAAAAAAAGTTCAACAAACCATAAATAAGTTCAGATTTAAAAAAAAAGTGTATATTAGGTAAAATTAAATTAAATTCAACTAAAAAAATTGCAACAAAAGGAAGAAAAAAAGACTTGATAAAAATAATATAACCTTCACCTTATTTTTCTTAATTAAAACTATTTTTACTAAAATAAAATTGTTTATAAAATTGAAATTACTTTTGTTGAACTAAAATTATTTTTGGTGAAATAAAATTATTTATTGATTCTCTATTATATTTATTTTTTAAAATTACTGATTTTAAGTGATTGAAAATATATATTTTGGGTTTTTCTATACAGTACCCTTGAGGTACCGACTTTTCCAAGCTGTACCCACCCATTTTAAAAATTCCACACTATACTCCTAAGTAGAGGTGGTTATTGGGTAGGGTAGCCCAATGATAATAGCTAGGGTCAGGGTCAAGCTTAAAGGGCTTTTAATGGATAGGGCCTTTATTGGACAGGGCCCTTATTGGACAGGGGCGATATAGGGCCAAAATATTTTTTCAATTTAACTGATAAAGAAAATAGATCGTTTATGTAAAAATAATTACATAGATAAATTTATATTCATATATACTTAATAATGCCTTTGTCCAATATTTTTTTTTAATTGATATTTTGTAGGCCCGCCCATTATCGACCCGCGACCCGCATTGGCCCGACCCAATATTGACTCTATAAAATGTGACCCTCTTTGACCCGACCCTCATCGACCCTGACCGACCTGCCCAATAACCAGGTCTACTCCCAAGGCACCTTTAGTGTCTATGTCTAAGTTGTAGCCTGCCGTCAAGTTGCCGTTTGCCAATTCCGTTTGTTTTATATTTCCAAGCTTTAGACGTTGCATTTTGGTTATTTTTTGTGGGAATATTTCCCCCCAAAAGAACAGTACTCTTATTCCTCCATAAATAACCCTTTTAATCCTTGTTTTTAGGATTAGGTTTAACTTCATTTTTTGGATTCTCCACATAGGAAGCTTGTTCTCCATTATTCACCATGTCAAGTTCTCTATTGTCCTTTCAATCGAAATCCAGTTGCGCGTTGGTGTTTTTGCCTCCACGTACGCTGCATTTGCAAGCCCCCTAAACTTGCAAAGATGAAGTTGTCAACAACCAATCGCAACCCAGGGAAAGCTTTCTTTCGGTACAATGATTGTGGATTCTTCAAATGGTTTGATAGAGGTGATATACAAGGGCTAGGGAGTTTGCAGACCTGTGATGTAGCATATGTGCACGAGAAAGTAATTGAGTTGATAAGTTACATTAAGGGTCTATTCTCTTACGTTGAAATTCATTTCAGTTCATTTCAGTTCAGCTCAGCTCAGCTCAGTTCAGTTTAGTTCAGTTCAGTTCAGCTCAGCTCAGTTCAGCTCAGCTCCTAATTTCCTTCTCTTATAAAATATTTATTTCAAAATATTTATTTCAGTTCATTTCAATTCAGTTCAGTTCAGCTCAGTTCAGCTCAGTTCAGTTCAATTCACCTGAGTTCAATCAATGAGAACAGACCCTAAGGATATAGTTAAGATAGGTCTTGTCTACGTATGCTGTGTTATTTGTGAGTATCATGATAAAAATAGGGTGAATTATTTTATGAAGTAGTGAAAGTGTTCTTTTATTTGGCAAAAAAAAATTCTAAGTCATCTTGTATTTGCCAGATTTGAAGTTATCATGAATGTAGTTAAATTATGTTATTTACGAAAAATTTATCTTTCACTATGATTTGTTTAATGTGCACATAATAAGAAGCGTTTATACCGTCAAGTATTTTGCATAAAACCAAAAGATATACAGGGGAAGAAGGAGTACAATATCCATAAGATAAAATATGGTGGGCTGATCAAGTTTCAGCATTTTTGACACCCTAAAAATTTTACACTTTTAACAAATTAACCATGTTCATACATACATAAAATTACCCCCCCCCCCCCTTCAAAATAACTGCATAATATTCAATCCAAAAAAAATACAAATCAGATTGACCATAATTTTTAGTAGTCGTGTTCAATACGCCCTTTGTCCCTATTTTATTTGACTGTTTACGGTCACCAAGACGCGTCTTAGAACGTAAGTATCTTCATTTCCATAAGTAAAAATTATAAAAACTTGATATTAATAAAATATGCAATAAGCCGAATCTAACAAGATCACTCAGCTCATGACTATATTATCTCTTATACATTAACGGTAATTTGCGGTCAAAGTTTACAAAGTTTGACCCAAAAAATAACATGGGGCAAAAATAAAGGGACGGATGGAGTAGATCTTAAGAAAGTGGGTCAAAGATTGGCATGTCAATAAAGTACTCCGTAAGAGTTAATGATTTAAGATTTCGTTACAAGAAAAATAATCCATATCAAAAACTCCCTAAGTAAGGGCCTATTCTCATACGTTTATTTTCAGTTCAGTTCAGCTCCTAATTTCCTTCTTTTATAAAATATTCATTTCAGTTCAGTTCAGTTCAGTTCAGCTGAGTTTAATCAATGAGAACAAACCCTAAATTAAACTTAGATAAAATGTTAGTTTGAGGCTATTGGATAACTATGATAAGTTTTTTTTTTTTTCTTGTATGTGTACCCAAATTATCGAGTTACCATATAAAGTTTTCTGTTTTTGTAAGAATCACAATTTACGAGGCTAGCTAAAACGTCTTAATAAACCAAGCCTATGAGTGATGTCATGCATAGCTCAAATCGGCTCAAGTCTTGGGTCAATTAACTTTGTGTCTAGTTTGAGTCGAGCTCAAAGCCTTAAGTTTTCAAGTCGAATCAATCGATTATTCAATCTTTAGCAATAACGTCAACATAAAATGAAGAAAAGGCATCATATATTTATATCAATTAGGATCACGAGCCAACCTCACGAGTATAATAAGCTATCATTAATTCATCATCACAAGTAAATTATGAGGGACTTCTAAATGGTGATGGATCTATCATTTATTTGAGAGGGGTCAATTTGTTTATTGCTAACTTTAAGTTTGGTTTCTATCTTTTTGTTACAGATAATAAGTTAAAGGGAATGATGCCCATGATCCATTACTTCAGTAGGAATTTATAAGTGTTTAAGGCTTGAGTTGGGCCTGATTCTTGGGCTCTTTTCTTACTCGTATGCTTTCGCCTTCCTATATTATTTCATTCATCTCAATTTAGTTTGTCTTTAATTGGAAGAGAAAGTGAGAGCGAGATCTCAAAGTTAACATGTTAACACTAAAATGAACATACATTAGTAATAAAAATCCCGCATTAAATGACGAACCTACGTTTCATATCGGAGTATTATAAACCAAATTATCTTTCAAGACCCGAGGCCTAGGCATAAATTCAACTTTTATATTTATGTATGGGGTAGTATACTAGTATATGCTCAACTTAGAAGCATACCTTATGTGTATCGTGAAGCAAACAGAGCTGCGGATTGGCTAGCAAATCAATGTATCTTCGAGAATAACAAAATAGAGTTGATTCAATTCCCTCCTATTGAATTAGGACGATCTTGCATGATAACATAGTTGGAGTATTTGTCACGGTCAAAGAGTTTGGGTACCAGAACGTGTGGCGCACTCTAGCCTTTGGCGGCAAGAACGCTAGCCTTGTGCGGAAGTAGGGCTTGAGAGCACAATGCAACACAAACGGACAATTAAATCTCAGAAGCACTCACGTCTATTTGGGCGATGGAGTGCGGGTGGTCGGGACTTGTGACGGTCGATACTTCGAGGCGGGCACAAGCGGGTCCGAAGCACGAGCTCTTAGTGCATCAAGTTGGTGTGGAGGCGAGCTATTATGCAAGTAGACACATATGTATAAAGGTTTAACAACAAACAAGCATAAAAGCAAGGCAACACTTAGTAGAAGGTTAAGATTTCGTTCAATCATTCACTCTCTAAAGAGCTTTAATTTGATTACATGGAGAATCCTTAGTGAACACTGCATTAACAATAATACAATAATGAGATCTCAGGTCTAGAAAACATAAAGTAAACTCTAAGAAAGCATTTAAAAGGCATCTACTACATCAAAAGGAGTTGAATTCTAACACTTTGCCACGTCTAGTTACTACTCCTTAGTTTCTATTTTGTTTGTTATACCTCTCGTTATTTATAAAAAATAAAAAATAAAAATAAAATATAAATAAAAAAAAAAACATACCCCAATTTACATGTACAATCACTCATAAGACACGAATCACGCTTGATAGAAATTCAGGAGGCAGTAACTCCGTAAAAAAAATCCCGAAGATTCGTAGTATTTGAGTCGAAACACTTCAACTGTTAAAAGTTGTACCCATCCAAGGTATGAAGAAGATGAAATGAGGACTGATTCAATCACTTGGTTAGCAACGGCTACTTGGAAGAGAAAGAGCATCAGTGCCGCATTAGGTCGGCATTCCACTGCACAATGTTGTTTAAGTGGGCAAATGCATCAACATAATCTGGGTTCGGAGAATAATATACAATTAATTTGCCATAACATTAAAGACTTGTGCCCACATTCCACAAGATGTAACCAAAAGGCAGAAAAGCTTGATTTGAATAACATAAGTTTGAATGACATAAACTAATAAGCTTCTGAACTAATCTGCATAGCGCAGATATTCAGAAGCTGTGGATAATGATAATGTACCTACAACAAGATGCAACCCACCAATCGGCCCTTAAGAACCGCATCGCAACAATAAGGTACAAAACATGTTGCAACTAAGCTAAGTTGGGGTTGCAACTGGAGGTCAAAAGGCTTAAACTGTACAAAACTGTGCTGCAGATATAGAAACTGTAGTTCTTAATGCAGTGTCATATGGCACATTTCTCCCCTAAATCCCAAATTGACTGAGAATTACTCTAGCTCGTTGTCTGAGCGGACATGAAGAGGACTGGATGGCGAATCATTTCCATCTTCAGCCACCCTGCGAGATTTCCTTCCTCTTGTTTTGGGAGCAGCACCATTAGCAACAATACTCTTCTTTGGGCGTCCTCGTTTTTTGGCAGCTGAAGGCGCAATCTTCACTTCATCTGGTATCTCACAGGCACCTTCACCATCATGAATTACATTCTCACCATGGGGCTCCTCCATTGCCATGTCAGGTTCTTCCTCCACTGATTTGATTTCATCCTCTTCAATATCTGAGGTGCTGATATCTGCATCTGCATCTTCAGACTCACTCTCATTTTCGTCAAGGGCACCAGAGCTCTCCTCACTGTCGGCCTTTTCTTGATTGAACTTGAGCATTAATGAATCTATCACTCCCATCAATTCCCGATTGACCTGCAAGAGATTACAACCAAGTGAGATAAGCAAAAACTAAAAATGATAAATATTATAAAATGGACTGGCACTTGGCATAGACATGCAGCACCCTTGCTGCTATGGTCTAGTTTAGGAATCTTAGCCCCAGTTAATATGAGTCAATCAATAGTCTAGAGCGCTCTAAACACATGCGAAATCATTAGAACCATTAATACATCATATAGACAACAAACCTGAGCATTTTGAAGAAACTCAGAGATGTCCATTGGGCATGAAGGGCATTTCATGACAGTTTTCTGGGTTCGTAGTGACCGACCTCCTGCTTTTCTCTCCCTTTCAAACTTTTGACCCTCAAATGTGGCATCCAAGCAAGATTTGCAGAAGTTATGAGCACATGGAGTTGTAACTGGAAGAGTCAACACCTTACGGCAAATTAAGCAACTGAACTCTGCAAAGGACAACATAATTTTGTAAGAAAATAGAAGGTGCAAAATTGGTTTTTTTATTAAACTTAAGTTACAAAGAGGACAAGGAAATACCCTTCAAAATGTTTGCCTTGGATCTCTTCTTTGAACGACCAGATCCAGTTCTCTTCTTGATTAGTTTGCTGGATGGTGCAGGCATTTTCCACTTCCAGCATTCTTCATCTGCCTGTAATATAAATCAGAACTTGAGATGAGCTGCTGAAAATGAATTACTCATTAACAATACATACAAGACACATTTCCTTTCAAAAGTTATTTCTACAAGGCCATAAACATTAACTAAATTCATTTTTTTCAGTTCATTTTAAGTTCCAGATAAAAAAATATAAAATAAAAAATAAAAAAAGCAACAAGGTAATTCAGTGCTCACATCATAGTCCCAGTGAGGGCTTTCCTTCCTCACTGTCAACTGCTTAGCCCCCTTTAGCTCAGGAACATTAGGCAATGGTCTTGGTCGATCACCATGCTCATCGCTGTAGCAAGACACAGACACAAAGTATTACTCGCACTCATCAAAGTAAGATTCAAGCATACAGAATGTTCTGTTAACTAGCCATGTACTGACCTCGTCCATGGCGCAGGGCTGTTGTCACATCTAACAAATAAATACCTGCATACCAAATACGGAGACTAACAAAGCAACAAAACCAATAAACCTATCAGAATATTCACAAATCATTGTTCAAATAATAACACAAAAATAACAAACTACAACCTTAACCAATTTTTTGTTCACTTCCTCTGTGGCATAATTTGCCCAACACTTCTCAATTCTGTAGATACCATCATAACGAACCCCAATTTCAGGTGCATAGTTAGAACGCTTCTCCTTAAAAGATCTGTATGATGTTTAGACCACATGTCATTTCTATAATTAGGAGTAAAAACCATCATAACCAAATCAGTATACAGCAGCATAACAAAGATCATGTGCTCTTAACTAAAGATAGCTTTCAAGAAGCTAGATAAAACTCAAGCATCGTGTATAAATACAAAGAGCTTTGTAGACCTAGATGCTAAATAAATCTTCTAAGCTCATACAATAGAATCAACTATCAAGTACTGGTAATTTACCTAACAACACGAACAGGGTATCCTTTTCTGCAACTCAATCTAAGCGCTTCATTTCCACCAGTAAATGCCTGATCATGTGTCTGATACTTGCTTGTACGCTTATTTCCACTCAAATCACGACCCCCACTGTGATTCAAGATTCACAAATAGATAAGAGAACATATCATCAAATGGCATAACAAACAAATTTTGGGACAGGCAGGTAAAAAAGAGATTCTAGGTTTTTCTAGATATTTTGCTCAGAACATACTGGAAAAATAATCATGTGAAGGTTGATAAGGAAAAATAATATCATCATTGATAGCAGATAATCTTATAGACAAGGAGTCAATAATGAAATAGCAGACATAGTATATCAATTAATGAAATCAGCACAAGTATATAATTAAAAATATAAATATATATATATATATATATATATATATATATATATATATATATATATATATATATACCTTCCAGTATAGAGGAACCATTCCCATGGTCCTCATCATCTAGATATCCTCCAGAAAGAACCACTGATTGTGCCCCGTACTTCGCTTGTCCAGCAATACCACTAACATGTGGGAAGTGAGCACCCCATTGTCTACATGCCATGCGATCTGCCCAACAGTCACCGACCAGCACTCCCATATTTCGAGATGGATCATACTCAGGAGGAATAGGCCCAAGAAAATCATTTGGGATAGTGACAAATATCCTTCCACTTTTAGCATTTGCTTTTCCTGCCTTTTTAGCCCTTTCTGTTGTAAAGGCTTCATCAGGAAGATCATCATTACGCACATATTGAAACACTCTAGGCACCACAGCTGCAGCAGGCTTGGATATTCTTGCCATTCTCATAGCAAATACAAGAGAAGAGTTGATTCTAGGTGGGACATCCGGAAGTGTTTCCCTACACTTTGCACATGTCCTTTTTCCTTGTCCCCACCATTTCTCAAAACATTTTAAACAAAAGTTATGCCCGCATGAAGTCTGAACAAGAAACATAAGCGTTGGTTATCCCTAGTGAAGAACAGCAACCAGGTAATACTAACATACATTTAATGTACAGCAAAGAAGATTGTTTTACAAAATGCTTGAACGGGAATTAGATCGCACAAAATTTCTGAAGGTCTCCCCTATTTCCTACCATGTATAGCATGAAACAAATCCACTAATTACATATAAAGGCACGCAACAACGAAAATAACTTTGATCGCTCAATACAGCATGAGGCTATGAATTTGTTCTCAAAACCCATCACCTTCACATAATCAACTCCTTACTAAGAATAATACTTCCAACACACAATGCATGAAGACATCCTATTACAGGAATCTACAAGTCAACAAGAAAGTAAACAAATTTATCATTACCCAAACCCAAAAAGTATCGCCATTTGCACTATATTAGACCAGAATCCAATAAATTTACCAATTATAGGTCCAAATTATTCCAACCATATAATGCACTAAATTTGCATACAGCATCTAAACCATCACAATCAGAATGCAAAACTTGCCAAATCAGTTATATGACAAAGACAGCCAGTACAAAAGGATATCTAATACCATGGTTGGTACACCCAACAAAACAAAGTACACTACCCAATTGATGTTAACACTTATCTGGAAAAAAAAAACAAAAAAAAATTCCCAAATCAAAATTAAATCTTTTACTTGGTACAGTACTTTTGATGACCAATAATTACAGCATCTACAATTTCCAATTAATCCAATGGAGTAATTACAGTGTTAATTCAACTTTAACAGTGTAATTAAACCACGCTTAATTTTCAGAATTCTAAGTTGTTAAACCAAACTGACGAATAATTGAACGTCGCAAATTACCCATTTACTTCACTTAATTAAAACCCCTAAATTTCACACATAACGCTGAAAAACGGTTATATCACACAAAATCAAAAATAAAATCACGCTTAACTTACAGAATTCAAGGTTGTTAAACCAAACTGACGATTTATTGAATGCAACAAATTACCCATGAACTTTACTTAATTAAAACCCCAAAATTTCACACCCAAAAATAAAAATAACGGTGAAAATCGATTTATCACTACAATAAAAACTTAATAATGCAAACTGACGATTAATTGAATGTAGAAAATCAACCAAGCACTTAATTAAAACCCCTAAATTTTACCCACAAAAACAACGACGATAAAACACGATTATACCACAAAAACCCAGAATTCAACACAAATAACAGAAAAAAAATTACAGAAAAAAACGCATGAAACAGAGAAATTATCACAATTCAAATGAAATAAAAGCAAAAACTGAAATGCAAGTACAGAGAGAAGGAGATTTACAGTGACAGGACGTTCAGGGAGTTGCATACAGAAAGAGCACTTGATATTCTCGCCAAGAATATTCATTAATTCATTATCATCCTTCACCTTCCCATCATCAGTTTCACCGGATCCAACCCCACCCAGAAGCTGCTGACGCTTCTTCGCCTTTTCGGCTTCGGACAGCGTAGCATCGGCCTCGATCTCCCTAATCTTGGAGAGCAATTCACCGGCAGGCCCCGCGACAACCGCCGATACAATGGAAACAATAGCAGCATCTTCCGAGGGAGCGCAATCAGGGCACTCCCACGAAGCAACCAAACTCATCGAAAGCGGAGGCGAAGAAAGACACTCAACATGCCACGGCGTAACACAGGTCTTACACACCAGCTTCTCCTCCTCCGACGGCTTCTTCTTGCACAACATGCAGTTGCCATCGCCGTCGCACGGGAGTTGCTGGGAGTGAACCAGAGGATTCGGAGTCGCCATTGATGAAACAATCAAGCTTTTTGGAGGAGAGAGAAAAAATGGCGGAGGTTGAAGAAGAAGAAGAAGATGGTGGAAAATGAGGGCAGTGAAAAGGGTGGTATTCATAGAGTGAAGGTGAGAGAGTGAGACGGCGGGGTTTTGAAATTTTTTTTCAGAGGGGGTTTTGAATTTGGGAGGCTATTCTCTGTGGTAGACTCTATTTTACTTATTGTGGAACTGCTTTTTTATTGGGTTTGTTTTCTGTGTTTGTTTTCAGCCGTTGATTTTGAGATTATGGATATTTATTTCCCTGTTATCCGGGATATTATGGATGATTTGCTTCTATTTTTGGTTCCGATTATGTTCCTATCCACTAGGATTGAGTATTATTCATATAATATTGTCCAAATGGTAACAAATTTGGATTATTTTATCTAATTATTGTTCTTACAATGTACCTAGCTAGAGTAAAAAAATTACTGTAAAGGGGTATTATGGGTCTATGGGTAGAAAAGTTGAACAATTGGTTTTATATTTCACGCGACGTGTTACGGGTATTGTGTTTATGGTTAGGGGTCGTTCGATGAAGTGGTATTAGATGTTTACAATTGGGGTTTGATAGATGGTTAGAGTTTGTAAATGTTTTGAATTGTTTTTTGTGCGGTTTTATTAATGTGTAACTTTAGATACGGAGTATATAGTTACGTGAACATGTCACGTGGAATAGTTTAAAATGCAGTTTTATTAATGCGTAAAGTTACGTGCACACGTGACGTGAAATACAAAAATAGTGGTTAATTAAAAGAAAGGAAAAAATCGAAGTTTGTTACCTTGTGGATTTAACGTTTAATAATCCTCTACTCATCTGGATATGAACATAATCCAAATAAATTAAAGAAGGAATCAACCACAAAATCCCGAATAACACGAAAATAAATCTTGAGAAAACAAAAAGCAACAACTTAAAATAGTAGCTATCGCAATGTAAACCAATCAATCATTAAAAATTATCCGCCTCATAAAGGCACAACTAGTTCGCCATACAAATTTAATTTATAAGGCTTATTAATTTTCTTTGTTTTCATTGATATAGTTTTAGTTCGTTCTCAAACTAAAGTAATAAATCTCATATGCCCTTATTAAAATAAATATTAATCTCAATGCTAATATAAATTAAATCAATAAACCAAACACTTGAAAATTTTCTTATTACGATGCAACACGATACGATATTTGGTTTCATGACCTAACATGTAAGGCTTAAAAAAAATTAAAAAAAAAAGATATAAAATATGTGTATGGTATAATCTTAATTTATTCTTTTTTATTATTATTTTCGGCTAAGTTGTGTAGCTTTATTGGAGAAATACGAGCTATAATTGATTTTCAATTCAATTATTTTTCAATTTAATGATTATTTGAATTTTGCATGTTCTTGATTATTAAATTTGCAATTTGACATTAATTGTTATCTTTCACGTTATTGGTTGTGAATTATTGTTATCCATATGGTTTGGCTTAGTTTAAATCATATATTGAAATAGCATCTAATTTTTGTCTAGTTTACGATTATGTTTTGGTTTAAATTAGAGATTATATTCAATATGATTAATTTGTCATTTAGAGAGCCCCAAGGGGTGATAATTATTGTACCTATGATCTCTGGTAAGCACGCGGGAGGGAGTTCTATTCACTTAAACTATTTATCATCTCATATTCGATCACTCCATTATAAATATAAATAAATACCTTTCAAAATTAAATTAGGATTAAATTTGTAACCTTTAAAAAAATTCTCCAAATGCTATTGTTTTTTTCTAAGAATAAAATGAAGAATCCTATATTAACTATTTCACTCTTATTTAATAGATGTAGTCTTATGACATTGGGTCTTGCGTAGATCATTAAATTAAAGTTTTATACATTAATTTTGACCTTCATGTGATTTACATTAATATAGGGCTTATTTATGATTTTTTTTTTCAATTTTTAGTTTCTTTTACTGGGTCTAATAGGTATCAGTGTGGTTTTTTGTTTTTCAACATTATATGATATATATCATGTAATGAGGAAAATATTGGTTAGTTAGACATTTTAAAAGCACGATAATTTTGAAAACTACCAACAAAAAAGTGAAAACACCTTTTTTTTTTAAATTGCTAAAAAAAAAAGGATGTCAAACAAGCCCCGAAGAAGTTGTTTTCACTTTACCTGTTATCAATATTCAAAATTATCACGATTTAATAACTTTAACAAAAAAAAAAATCATTTTATGACATATGATATATCATATGAATTTGAAAAACAAATAAACCATAAAATAGTAAAGTCTAGTGATACCGAAAGTTACCAATGGATTTTGCATGTAATATAAAACCAATACTCCAAACACCTCATACTTTATGGATTTTGTTGTTTCAGTAGTTTTTGTCCTGCTTAAGTATCAACAAATTTCACACTCTGTAAAAAAAAATTAAAAAATTAAAAAAATCAACAAATTTCATACAAAGAAAGAATAATATCACTAGCAAAAACCTAAGTAACAAGGAAATAATTAAAACTTAATTTAAAAAATAAGTAAAATGACTCAAAATCATTGTAAAGTTAACCGGTCAATGATTTAAAATATATCTATATATACATTGCAACAGTCAAACCCTCATAACTGACATAAGTGGTCGCAAGTATGTATGCACACGCTTATTAAATTTGGTTAAAATTTAATAATTTAGCAAATGAAAATCTCAACCCTTTTTTATTTTTTTTTATCCTCTTACTAACATGAATTAATCTAGAATAATTACTTAGTTTATTTTCAATATTTTAGATTGAACATTTAAAAAATTTCAAACCAATTTAGATCTCCATTAAAGATTTATTGAAAATTTAAATTACAAATAAAAGTTTGTAAAAGGTGATATGACATTATCCGTCAATGTGGCTCGAATCCGACCCAAAATTAGCTTGTTTGGGTCAAGATTTTCAACTTGTTATAGTAATTGTGTTAGCTAAAATGACTCATTTATTAAATGATTTAGGTTATGGTTGAACTTTCAAACCCTTACTCAACTCAACACCTAATGTACTTTCTAATCTAGATAGTGTATATAATTTATACATCATTGATGCAGCTTGAAATACTTAAAAGGTTTCTTCTTATTAATTTGCATAACTTATTTTTCAATGTTCTATACAATTCTTTCATGCCTAATATTATTATAGACGAAGTGGGTTCATTAGATTAACATATTGATTTGTCACGCTTATATTAATAAGTGTATTTGATATTAACTAGGTAATAAATGGGTCAGGATACCCATTTATTAATTTAATGGGGTAGGCTGGGGTTTAAGGCTTATTGTTTGTTTATACATACGAGTTACTTTTGGGTTGAGGGTAGATGTGATTAAAAATTTGATCCATGATTCGGTCAATTTGATTTGAAATTTGGGATATCCAATTTCTTTTTTTTTTTTTTTTTTTTTTTTTTTTTTTTTTTTAATATGCTTCAGATTAGATTTAGACCATCTTTTAAAATTTTCAAATATTCGATACATTCAGTTTCTTTTAATTTTCTTATAAAAACTTAAATGTATTAAGAGTGTAATATTAAATAGCCACCCTTTTTTTTAATGTCTGAAATATTTTGAAAAAACAATATATTCGATTAGAACTTTTATTATTTAGATTGAATATCCGATTATTTTTCGCTCAAATTCGGATCAAATCTTCCTTGATCCGAAACTTTCAGATGTCTGAATTCTCGATCGAATTGGATATTCAATTTGACCACCGCTAGTTAGAGGAGTCAACCCATGAACCGAGCCAAAATTCTACACAGCTCTACACGCTTGACAAATCTACCCAAAAGTGGTAAAATTTATGTTTAGAAAAAGTTTTTTTTAAAAAAAAAAAAAAGTTATCGGGGTTATCTATAACTTGAATGATTTGTTAATTGATCAGAAGTTTTTATTTTAGATCTAATTCATCAAAAAAATTTGGATTTAAGTTTCTGATCTAATTTTTTTTAATCAAATATACTTTTTCTGGTTGATTAAAACAACCCAGATTTTTTATTTGAATTATGATAACAAAAAAAGATAAAGAATGGATCAATGAATGACTTGACTAATTAGACATTTTATATGCAAAAGAAATTAATTGCGACATAGATCCATCCTATTAATGAAAAAACAGATCTCGGTGCATCATGATAATTTTACAAACCATCATTCATGTTATTAATTCAATAATTAAACAAATTAGGAAGACATAATAGTAAATTTCACCTTTCGAGAGAGATAGCAGATGCCCGGCGTCATAAATGGATCGATTTGTATTGATACTTTACTTCGTTCCCCTTGGACAATTTTCTCATGGGTTTGGGATTTGAGGCATTGGGTGCTAGGTTTTTTGTTTCCTCTATTTTTGCGGCGACTGAAAAGACATCAGTGCATTGGTAGTTAGGTATATATAGAGGTTTTAATTTTTTTTGGGACACAACGACATCGTTTTAATATGTGAATAAAAGTATTCATAATATATTTTTAAAAGGGAACAACAGAGGTGCATCAGTGTGGGTATAATAAAATATCATAATATTTTTTTTGCCAAATAATACACGTACGAATATCCTAGCACAAGTCCAAATTACAAAAACCAAAAACTTCCTCCGTTACTATCTTGTCACAACGTTTCTATCTTGTTCTCTTCACCTATTTTACTTTGATAATCTTTAATAATTAAATTTAAGAAAAACACGGTCACGCGGGATCTTGTTTAATTTATTTTAATGTATCTTTTCAAAATATCTTAATTGGTTATAAGTTCAAAACTTGAATGCTTTGACATAAGTGAAAAGTAGAAATGTTGCAACTAAACAAAAAATTTTAAAAAAATATAAAAATAAAATTTTCTACTTTGTAGACCTCCTTTATTATTCCTTAAACCCTTAGGAAAACTCTTGGCGCATAGACCGTATTAAGGATGCAAATAGGATGACATTTTTGTAAATAATAGAAACCCGATGGTGGAAAATATGATGGCAAAAAGTACCACTACATGTATTTTAGTACATAAAAAGTACTATTCAAAACACTTATATTTCAATGGTACATTATACATGTATAATAGTAGTACACAAAAATGTACCACTGTACCAAAACAAGAGAGAAAATGTACCACCGAACCCCAGATTGTCCTCCTATGTGCATGCCAAATACATAGGTCATATGCGCCTAGATGCACTCTTGCTTTGAGGGCTTCAAGGCCTTCAACCCATTAAGTTAGTTTTTTTTTTCCTGATAACTCATGTATTTATCAGTTTACGAAAATTGTCAAATAACTGATCAATGTGTCGTATTCAATTGAATTTCTATTGCATAAGCGTGTAATAAACTAATATCTACATGAGCTTACATATGGGGAATAAAGCATATGCATTAATAAGTGACAATATTTTCTATACCTACTTAAATAAAACAAATTTAACTTTTCTTTTCTTAAATTAATTACTTGAAGCAAATGAAAATTTCTAATTAACCTTCTACTAATTTTAAAAATTCATGATATAATTTATATTTTTTGCTTAATATGTTGCTTCTTATTTGGAATAATGTACAAGAAATGATGTTTATAAATCTTTTATGTAGAAGTATTATTGTAAGGGTGTTGTAATTCGAAAGCCAAAAAGGGTAAAGGTATAATAATAAATTT